AGAATACTTTTTGTGCACAAAGAAAACAAAAATAACGACTTTATTCAACAATTTCTTCTCTTCTGTGTTAGTGTTTGACAGTACCATGACGGATGTGTGTGCATTCCTCTGCTTTTAAACAAGGCGCAGCGCATCCGGGTTCTATGTCAGAATGCCGGCTCCTGCATCAGAAGCACCACACGCATGCATTGTGGTAATGTCGTGAATGGCCGCGAAGACTGAACCAGAAGAGAAGAAATCGTTATATAAAGTCATTATTTTTGTTTTTTTTTTGCACACAAAAAGTATTCTCGTAGCTTCATAACATCACGGTTGAACCACTGATGCATAGCCACGGGAATGTCACGTGACAAGAGTGATGCGAGAAGACTGACACTATGGCGGATCCAAAGTGCAACTTTTGTTAATAAAACTTTAATTTCTTCGTTTAGTAGCCTATAACGCAGTGTCTTTGTTGCTGGGTTTTCATAAAAAAAATAACAATGAACCACAAACTAACCATTCGTTTTAAATAAGGGAAAATACCTTATTTATTTGGGTTACAACGGCTATATCCATCTTATTCATTTTGTTAATACAAGGTAGATGTTTAATATATGCGAATTTGCCATTGTACTATTTTATGGCTGATGTGTTTTAATTAATAAGATAATAAACCACAAACTACGATCGTTTTAAGGAAGCCTAATGGGAAATCCATAGGCTATTTATTTGTGTTAAACGTGGGTAAAACATATCCTTATTTATTTTGTTAATAAAAGTTCAAAGTTTAATATAGGTGAATTTGTCATTGTACTATTTTATTGTATAGCCTGTGTTTTTTTTTTTCGGTTAATAATAATGAGCCATAAGAATTCATTTAAAGTAAGGGGAAAATCCAAAAACCTTATTTGTGTTACAACGCGGGTACATCAGTCTTATTTGTTCCGTTCATAAAAGTTTTATGTTTAATATAAGCGACTTTGTCATTGTAGCATTGCTGATGTTGTGTGTGTGTGTTTTTCATTAAGAGTAATATTGAATCAACCTTAAGCATTAACTGTTTCAAGAATAGGAAAGACCTAACGTTAAAGATCAAACTAAGCGCTACAGATGCGAGTGCGAGATTAGTTGCTGCTGAGGTAGACGCTCTCGCTCTTTCTCTGCTGTCTGTAGAAATTGTTGTTAATTCTTAATTTGGGTACGGCAGAGACATGTTACAGGTTATAATATAATCCAAAAATCATGGCAACAAATGATTTTTTAAGTCAGTTTAATAAGTTTAATCAGTTGAAACGACTTTCACAATTTGATTCAACTTAACTCATATTTAACCGTTGCTTCTTGTCATTGTAGGCTTAGGCTACTTTTTTGAATGAATTTGAATGAATATACAAATTAATAAAATGAATATTATTTGTTTTTTATTACATATTGTTCATTCATTTATTTTTAACACCGCACCCCATTTTTTGTGAGCTACACTCCAGGGGGTGCTGCAGCACCCTCAGCACCCCTACTTTGGGCGGTAATGCACTGATGTCACATGGACTATTTTAACGATGTCTTTACTACCTTTCTGGGCCATAAAACATTTCAGTTGCATTGCTATCTATGCAGGGTCAGAAAGCTCTCGGATTTCATCAAAAATATCTTAATTTGTGTTCCGAAGATGAACGAAGGTCTTACGGGTTTGGAAGACATGAGGGTGAGTAATTAATGACAGAATTTTCATTTCTGGGTGAACTAACCCTTTAATGACTTTCAGAGGACTGTCCCAAGAACACGGTCTCTAAGAGTGGCAGAGGTGGCATATACAAGAGAAGATTTTGAGATGTTCTTTTGAGACCTTTTGCCTCTGTCTGACAATGACGTGCATACACAGACACTCAATCTTACACATCTATCCATCATTCACCTTTGGGTTAATGACAAATATGAAAAAAGTGCCAAATTCTTAGAAATGTAATCTTTGTGTTAGTTTCATGTGGTTCTGAAAAAAAATAACATAAAAATAAAAAACACTTAAAATGTCATGTGATGTGTACAGATTGTTGTAATTATTTTCAAAACATTTTTAAAATATGCTTTTCAAGGTAAAACCTTTTTGTTTGAAATATCATGAATTATTCATTTCATAAACATCATGTTTTTACTTAGTCGCACAACATGATCTGAAACTAATATTGTCAAAAAGTCAAATTTTCTGATATTTTAAGATACTTTTTGAACTTGACACATAGTCATGAAGGTCTGCAGGGCTCTTCTTTATGATATAATTTTTCTGTTATGAAATTTAATTTCCAAATTTCAAATTGTGGACAAAAGTTTTCTTAAATGTTAATTAGTAGTGATATTTTATTGTTAAAATAATGAATGAATCTATAAAATAATAATAAAATGTATGCAAACCCTTTAATAACGTTTTCTTTTCAATAATTATTTTAATAAGGCTGTTTTCTTCCTTATGATATCAGAATGTATAATTTTTTACTTAATGCCCTTAAAAGAAATTAAAATAAAAACATGCGCATTATAGGAGAGGTGCATTTCAAGTCATTGTATGAATTGAATTTTTTATGTCTTTTTGAATAAATTAACAGATCTGAACAGAAAATTTACATCAAGTTATTGACCCATTTCTGTCTCCCACATGCACAGAGAATGAGAGTTTGATATTAGCTTAATATGACTTTGCAGCTGCTGTATTCAAGCTGAGATACAAGAGTAAATGCAGTATAATGACTGTACCTTAAGAACATCTTCATCTGTGGAGCTGCAGTCAGCAAACTCAGAGACATCTGTTACAGAACCATCCTGTTCCACACCAATGGTTCGTACTCCCACCATAACCCTCTTACCAGTCAGCACAGCAGTGTTCAACAGCTCTGTGTCCTACACGGGTCAGGGATCAAAGTTAAATTTTGGATCTTAATACTGAGCTAAGCTCAAACTTTAGTACTCCTACAAATAGAGGTCAGGGATTTGGCATGTTATGATAACACTATGCAATCTAGTGATGAAATTAATGTCAATATCGGTGCGCTTTTTTACACCATTTCACAGGTAAAAATAGTTTGTTCAGGGACACAAAAGCAGATTTCAGGTTGGAATGAACTGTGTCAATCTATTTAGATAATCTGGGCCAGAGATGCACTACCTGGACTGATACAACTTTATGTAATCAAAGTCATTTTGATGAGAACAAGTGAAAAGCAAAAACTGATTATTTTACGGGACAAAACCCCATTTCCCAATATTGTCTACAGTGAATGGGAATCACCAGCTTAGTGGGATAACCCTCTGAACTTTAAAGACCCTGACAGATGCAAAATGCCAGCTCACATAAATGAAACAGGTTTTCAGGAAACAAAGATCACTTAATTTAACTTTATGTAATACATTAAAAATAACTATATCAATATTGTTTTACTAAAAATGAAAAAAGGAATTTGCCATTAGGCTGATCAAACAGCACTGTTTTGTTCATGAATAAAACGAGTTAGATTATTTCTTATCCAATGAAAATCCCTTGCCCTGTAAAACCGCCTAAAAGCGACTAGCAGTCCCCAGTAACACTTTAGGGACCAATTCTCAATTAACTAGTTGCTTATTAGTTTGCATATTACTAGCATATTGGCTGTTTATTGGTACTTATAAAGCACATATTAATGCATTATTCTGCATGACCATACTTTAGATCCCTCAATCTGACCCCATACCTAAACTTAACAACTACCTTACTAGCTATTAATTAGCAGCAAATTATGAGTTTACAGAGAAGTCGTAGTTAATAGTTAGTTAATGGTGAGAATTGGTCCCGAAACTAAAGTGTGACCGACATTTCTTATACTTAAGTTTAATTTTGTATAAGTACATAAAAAGTAGACTGAAAGTATACTCTCCTAAAGAAGTACTGGCAAACATATTAGGGTTTTTTTGGCCATTTTCTGTCTTGTGCTGTTTTCAGATTTCTGGGACAGTGTCCAGCTGTATATTAGAGCTGCTACACAAAATCTGATTAATTATGCCTAAATCTGCTCATGTTTGGACACAATCCAAAGGTCAACATGATCGGTCTTGCAGATGAAGCTTTACAAGCTCTGTCACAGTGCCGAGCCCTTGGTACCCTGCTGGATCAATTCTGTCTTACAAAATGCCAGTGAATAATTCATGAAGATGTTTTACTGTCTCAGATTGAAACTTCAGATAGAGACTTATTACTTTTTTTTGTTAAGATGTTGTTGTTTTTTTAGATTTTTTGCTATCTTTAATGAATTACCATAGCCTACCATAACTAGAGGAGCCAGGCCCACAAAGTCCCTCTGAGTGGTGTAGATCCTCATGGTGCCTTCGGATGCCCCCATCATTTTTACCTCGTCTGGAAGCATCAACTCCCACTTAATCACCTGAATCTCTGATTGACTGCTGACATCCTCCACTTCAAAATTCATCTGAAGAATTGCTTGAAGTTTGTTTAATCTGAAAAAGAAAGAGCCATTAAACACCTCACGCCATATACTGTAAAACCTTTTAATCTTCTGTGATCAAATTGACAAACTGCTGCATTTGGAGGTTGATCTGTTTGATTCCAAATAATCGAGTGCAACTATTGACTTTAAGTCAATAATTGTATATTGATCATGATCATACTGTTGTTGCCATTCACAACCCATATTACTTTTGTCATATTTCAGAGTGAAACTAAGTAGTGCAGGATGTGATTTTGTTCATCAGGAATTGATTATATGGTAAAAAGTAAATAGGGCCAATTTTGATTTCATGTTGGCTTTAAAAGATACAAAGCTTGTGGTATAAACCTTTCATGGGATCACCATAATCTGATGCATCTGTCTCAAATCTTAGTTTTAAAATGCACAGCTTTCATGCTCTGGGGATGAACTAAAGAGTTCCGATGGCTATTTTGTGTAGACATATTTGTATAAATGCATGCATGGATATGATTGTACAGCCAAAAAGGCAATTATTTCAAAAACTGTGATTGACATAGAAAAGACTTTTGAAAAAGTCCTTGATAAAAATAAGCTAGTGATCCTGTGTTCTATAGGACCATGATTTATCACATATGAAACAAAACTTAAAGGGGTCATATTATGCTATTTTAAATATCATTATTTTGTGTATTTGGTGTAACAGAATATGTTGACATGCTTTAATGTTCAAAAAACTCATTATTTTTCAAATACTGTACATTATTGTAGGTCCTCTATGCCCCGCCTCTCTCAAACGCTTCGTTTTCTACAAAGTCCCTCCTTCCGACAAGCGCAGTCTGCTCTGATTGGCCAGCTGACCCAGTGCATTGTGATTGGCCAAACACCGCAAGCACTCGTCGGAAATGTAACGCCCCTTACCATAATCGTCTTCATTACTTCATCTTTCATAAATAATGTAAATAATGTCATTAGTTTTACCATCAGTTCAAGCCCGAAAGGGGAACAGACACAGTAATGACAAGCAGCG